CCCCCTCTGCCAGAAGTGGGGGGCGACCCCCTGGCACAGCCCTCGCCGCCCCCAAAGCCCCCGGGGGGTGAAAGTGGGGATGTGGGTCTTGCCCGTTACAGCGATGGGCCAGTTCAAAAATCACTTCACACCCCCCCACCCCCGTTCAGCTGGAGCTCGTTAGGCTTAGGGTTTAGCTTGAAGGTCATCCATAAATAAAAATAACGAGCCTGAATTCATCATGGGTCACACCGTCCCCGGCTCTGGTGCCGCGGTCCGGCTGCCTTTTCTGGTGACTTTTAACAGTACTTGAGGTGTAAATGAGGTGAAGAAACATGGAATTGGCACAGAGAAAGTTGTCGTTTCCTGATGTGTGGTTGGCTGCTGTGGCATCGGTGCTAGCTGGTCCCCAGAAAAAGCTCTCGTACAAGTAGGTGATTGAACGCTGCCTCTGTGTCTGTGCTTCCTTCATCTTTTGCCTTCAAACTGAAGGAGGTTCCCAGATCCTTGCCTGCATATCGCAGCCTGCCAGGATGCAGGTGAAGGTGTAGTGCTCCCCTTCCTAAGGCTCCGCAATTGCCCAGCTCTCCATCGCGCTGTACAAATAATTGCTACGAGCGTCTCCGTTTTCAGAAAAACGAGGTTTTAAGAGTTTCAAACCAAGCTTTTCAGATGAGTGTTTTAGTAATTAGACACCTGGAAAGTTGAGGGGCAGAAGCAAATTAAGTGTCAAAGTCCTAGTGAGAAAAGTATCAAACTCCATTAACCAATTTGGAAAGCATGAATTTAAACACAAACCTAAACGTGTCTTTATCTTTAGAAATATAAAACAGCCCTCACCTTCCCTGAAGCCCCTCTGAGCTGCAGGTGTTTGGCGTTCCTGTTTAAAGAATGTAAATAAAACCTGATGGTGCCCAGTGCCTTGCAGGTTCAGCCCAGTAGCATTAGAAGGGAATAAACCTTTTGCTCTGGGAAATTGAACTAGAGAAAAAAATCTCAATTTTTTATGTTGTCAGGAAGTGAAATGTAGTCTGTGAAGATGTGCTCACGAATCAAGGGGTCCAATTTCTTGCCCTAGTTGATGTAACTGTGGATTTGTTGGAACAGAACTGTTGCAGACCTGCAGTGCTCTATCTGATGCGGGGGTTTGGTTCAAGATACTAAAATACACCATTGAAGGTGTCTTGGTGGTAAGTGCACTGGTCCTGGGGGCCTCTGTGGATGAGCGTGACAGTGGCTCCATGTTAAAGCTTTTTGTCCCTGCCGGCACTGTCAAAATATCCTGCACAGCTGCGTGGTGGTTTCGTGCCTTTGTAGCCACCTCCACCTCCCATCCCTCAAGACTGGCATTTTATTTCTGCACGTCTAATTCCCCCTGGTGAGGAAAACGTCAGCGTGTTACGAATGCTGACTGTGTATGTGCGTTTGATGAATTTTGTAAATACGGAAGTTGTGGAGAAGAATGTGCTTTTTCAGAAGTCATGGCTGGTGTTTTTTAGCTCACAAACCGAGGGCTCGGTCCTGTTCCTAGTTCTGGCTTTGGGGCTGCTAAATTTAGTGGGCATACTTTCTACATGCTGCCTGAAAATTTAAGATAGCTGAATATGTTTGAAAGGCTTTGGATATTGCTGCTTTCAGTTTTGAGAGCTATTGTGTGAGAAGTTGTGTGACACCTTATTTTTCTTGGCCCTTTAAAAGCTGACTTTTTAAAAATAAACATAATAGTTCTGAAAGAGGCTATTCCTTGCCATGTGCATTAGGGGAACTTGTTGCTTGGAGCACTTGAGGCTGTCTTTTAAGTTGTTTTCCTTTTAAAAAAACTGGATTCCAAAGGCTGGTCTGAGCCTTTATATTGCCCGTTTGGCCTGGGCTGCACATCTCCAGCAGACTTCAGCGCTCGAGTTTCACCCTAGTCATGCATTAGGTTGTAAGAGAACTGCTGGGTTGATGGTACTTTTCATGCGGGTGATAACTTATCCTGCTATTTAGTTTGTTTATCTATTTACTTTTTAATAAAAGATCCAAAGGCTCTGGTTCTGCAGTCAGCAGATGCTGCTGTCACACCCCCTCTGCAGAGCCCACCGGGCGGGCGCAGAGCCGGGGCAGCTTGCGGAGCCCACGGTCCCCTGCCCGGGGTGTCCGGCTGAGTGGTGGGGAGCAGCTGGTGGCTGTGCCACGTCCCCAGCGCCATCCACCCACCCGCTGGGCCAGCAGGCTGTGGAAGGGCCTGTGGGGTGTACGTGGGAGAAGAGCCTCGCTGGTGTCCCAGCAGCAGTATGGTGCCAGGGATGTTGTCTTCCTCTGGAGCTGGAGGAAGCAGTGAGGGGGTTGAAGGTGCCTTGAAGGTGCCAGTGGGCTGATTTCTGAAACGAGGAAGGTCTTAACCACTGTTGACCACTTCGGGTTTCTTGTTCCGTGAAGAGTTAGGAGGGAGGTGGTGGTGGTTGTGGTGACACTGAGCGGCGCGGCCGTGTGTCAGGGCAGCAACTAAAGGGGACTCATTTTGGAAGGAGGGGACGCTGATCCCCCAGGCAGCAGATCTGCGCCTTGCTGTGACCACTGCAGTTGGGTAATCCTTCTCAGAGCAGCACCTCTTTCTCCGTAGTTCCTGCCCGCCTCGTTGTTTGAATACGGGGTGAAGCTGCAGCGTGTTTTGAATAACCCAGTTTTATTTGCGGCACACTCCCGTGTAATTCAATGACCCTTCCTCAGTAAATGGCCGGTCTCTGAAGGCAGGATAGAGAGGGAGTTCAAAAGCTGTTGTTGCTTGCCGTTGCTGACTGTTACCTGACATGGCATACATCAGCTGGAACATCGCAGAGTTGCTGTGAAACTGCGACAGCACATTAATTTTTCCTAAGTACCGTTTGCCTTGGAGTCGTTGCCAGCGAGAAAGGCGAGCGCGGGATCGCCGGAGGATGACACCAGAGAGGGCTGAGCTGATAAACAAAAGAAAGAGAATAGCCGCCTGCCTTACCAGCTCGGAGGCTCGTTTGCATGTGCGGCGCTCCTGGGGAGCGGGTCACGTTGGGAGTAAGAGCTGCAGTAATTAGCACAGCTTTTCCATACTTCCCCAGGGACGGTGGGCAAGGGTGGCCGCCGTGGGAGCTTGCCTCCTGGGAGGGAAGGGGACAGGGTCCCTGCATGGACCATCTGTGGCCAGGGGGGATGCAGAGTTGCCCCCTGTCCTGCAGGAAAGTGCCGCCGCTGTAGTAAACCTCAAGGAAGGCTGATGTGCTGTAAGCACAGCTTGGGGCTGGAGCTGGCTGAGAGGAACCTGCAGAACAGCATTACCCAGACTCCAAGTTCGGTGGCTGTTGTCCCTGACAGAAAGGTTTTGCTGTCTTTTCCCAGTATGGCAGGAGGTACTGGCATTAGGGGCTCTGGCCTGTGTGTGCTGGTGATGCAGAGCCTCCCGACACCAGAAAGCACAGGGTGGATGGCTCCTGATCCCACCACTGCTCAGAGCACCAGGGGCCATCCCCCAGTGCGCGGCCCACCGGTGTCTCCGGTGACACGTGCGTGTCCCTGGGATGAGGGATCAGAGCTGAAGGATTCCCTTCAGCAGGCTGACAGTGAGGTGAGTCAGGGATCATCTCCTGCAGACCCGTAGCACAGCAGGTGTGGAGGCATGTGCCACACAGGTTGTTCCCCCGCGCTGGGTCAGGGAGCAAGTCGGCGCAAGTCTGTGATGTGATCTGTCGCCTTCCAGGTTTTCCACACCTACTGTGCAACTCTGCTGTGGCTTTTGTACACCCAGAGCTGTTAAATGGTGTGACTGTTGGCCAAGAGCACGGTGCTGGCAGCGCTCGACATGGCGTGTGCAAGAACCAGCAGTTTCAGTGGAATTTCAGCTGTCGCGGCGTAGAGAGACATCCATGTTTATCCTTCACCTGGCCTCTGCCAGTTGGGCTGGAGGATAAGTGGTCCCAGAAACCAGAGCAGGTCAATAGATCCATCTTGTTCCAAAATCCTAGTTAACTGGAACCAGTTGGAAACTTGCTGTAATGGAAATTTTGGTTGCGTATAGTTTTTTTAACAGAACGCAGTCGATCATGTTCTTTGCTTTAGTCTGCCTCCGCTTTTGTTTTTTGTCCCGTGTTTTTTGCGTATTCCAACTTCTCAGGGGGGGCATTAGTCTTACTGACATAAAAGCACATCTCTTGAGCGGCACTGCAGCCTCTGAATGCTGAAGCTGCGTTGTTTGAAGACTCTGTTTCTTGCTCTGAAGGTTCACATAAGAAGAGTGCCCTTGAGACAAGCTCAGTCCGTGTACATCCCCCTCCCAAGATAGCTTGTCTTGTGCTGTGCAGTGAGTGCCATTTTCAAGGAAACTAGTCTGCAAGTTCTACCCTAGCATGGCACGCCTATGGGCTGGGTTGTTAAGGAGAGCTGTGCTCTTGTGTGTTGTACTGTGTCCCTTCACTCCAGCTGGGGGTGTTACTAAGTGAGTATATTTGTGCAGTGCCTCATATCATTCTTCTTTGTTTGTTTGTTTTTTCCAGAACACTATAATTACACATCTTCAAACGTAAATGCTGGCTTGCCTCTAAATGTGGCACATTCCTCACTGTCAACTCCATGCCATGGCCTTCAGACATCAAATCCCGTCATTTCAGTTGTCCCATCGACAAACCATCCATCTGGATACGGAGGACACATCGACAGCGGGGCTTCCGAGTATTACCTGCCACCAAACATCAGACCTAATGGAGCTCCAGCGCTGGAGAGCCCTAGAATTGAGATCACTTCTTACATGGGACTTCATCATAATAACAACCAGTTTTTCCATGATGAGGTTGAGGAGGCCATCCCAAATGCCAAGCGGTCGCCTTCCACAGCCACTTTGAACTTACCCAACATCGAGGCGTACAGAGACCCGTCCTGCCTGAGTCCAGCGAGTAGCTTGTCTTCCAGAAGCTGCAACTCCGAAGCGTCTTCCTACGAGTCCAACTACTCGTACCCGTACACTTCACCCCAGACCTCCCCGTGGCAGTCCCCGTGCGTCTCTCCGAAGACCACCGACACAGAGGAGGGCTACCAGCGCAGCATGGTGGCCTGCACTTTGCTCGGTTCCCCGAGGCACTCTCCATCAACATCTCCCAGGACGAGCATCACAGAGGAGAACTGGCTGGGGGCTCGCAACTCCAGGCCTCCATCTCCCTGCAACAAGAGAAAGTACAGCCTCAACGGCCGGCAGACCTCCTACTCCCCACACCACTCCCCCACGCCTTCTCCGCAAAACTCGCCACGGGTGAGCGTCACGGATGAGACGTGGCTGGGGAACACCAACCAGTACACCAGCTCTGCCATCGTCGCCGCCATCAACGCCCTCACCACCGACAGCACCATAGATATGAATGATGGGATTCCCATCAAGTCGAGGAAGACGGCCATCGACCACACCCCGTCCATGACTCTCAAAACCGAACCGGCTGGCGAGGATCACGGGACCATATCGCCAACTGCCGATTTGTCACCGGAAGACTTCTCCAGCTTTCAGCACATCAGGAAGGGAAACTTCTGCGAGCAGTACCTGTCCGTGCCACAGCACCCCTACCAGTGGGCCAAACCAAAGTCTCTGTCTCCGACGTCCTACATGAGGTAAGGAACCCCGACTTAGAGGGCAGTCCTGATAATATCTTTATTGCACACTTTTTTTCTTCCTTCCCCTTCCTGTCTCCGCTTCCTGCCAAATCTGCCCATCCATCATTCCACATAGCTGTATCTTGTGATGCTGCCTCTGTTGTGGTGTGGCGTGACCACGAGTAAAGCCTCGAAGGGTTAAAGAGGCTGTTCTAGGCGATGGCCATGTGTGGGTGGTAGTTGGTTATCTGCTTCCCAGGGGATGAGCCCCAGTGTGGGCAGTCTGGAGGAGGGGTATTCTGAAGCTGCTCAGGGAGCAGAACAATTTGGTGCCGTCAAACCTGTAGCTTTACTTACATAGTTCACCATGTCTTAGTATGTTTTTATTGCAGGAGAAGGAGATGGTCTCATTACGGTGGCATTACTGGGCCTTGTACATTTGCACTTGATAGTGAATACAAATAGAATAGGAATAGGGTTCTTTTGTGTATTATTTCAGCTTTTGCTTCACGTCATCTGAAAGCTGCTTCTCAATCTTCTATATCTGTCTGTGCTGGACAGTGATTTTCTTTTTTCCCCCTTCCCTGACATTTTTATGTTTAAAGAAGAAAACCTTATTTGTCAGCTCCTATTACTCAATATACTGGTCACACTGATTTATCAGAAGAGGACTCAGGGCAGGAAACACCACAAAATAGCCAGAATTTGAGTTACATCCACTGCTTTCTCTTTCAGTCTCAGTAATGGTCTTTACTCTGAAGCCTTCTGAAGGCCGTATATGCAGAAACAGGGGGTGCAGAAAAAGAGTTTGGCTTTCCTGGTCCCTGGTTGTGTTGACCACCCCCTCTCCTCTTCTTCCTCAAGCACACCTGGCTTCTTGCTTTTGACAGCAAAGCTGTCTTTCTCAAAACGAAGGAAGTGGGCAGGTAGTTGGAATCTTTTAATTAGCGATACGTTCACTGGCTCTCAACCGTGCCAGTCTCGCTTTTCTCCAGCCAGCACCTCTGCCACGTGCTGTCTCCCAAAGCTGAGACTGAGTGGTCCACGGCCCTTTGTGTTACAGCAGGTAGTGCTGTGGTCCCCTTCCTCATCGTTCTCCTCCCCCTCCCCCTGTCTGTGTTGCCCAAGGTCCTCACAGGACCCTGGCTCAATTCGGTGCTGGGAAATGCAGCAGACCCTTTGGGTCTGGCCAAGCCATCCAGGCACTTTGGGTCTGGCCAAGCCATCCACAGGTAGGCACTCGCTGCCTTTCGGAGCTGGGACAGTGACTTTTAACACCAGGCAAATCCTTCAGAGCCTCCCCACATGCTTAAAAAAAGCCGCTTACGTTCTCCCGCTGAAGTGCTAAGCAGCCCGCGTTCATCAGAGAGGCCGGCCCTTGGCTTCTGCATTCAGGGGGTCGCTTTTTGCCGAAGACTTCGAGGGCAATAATAGGACAGTTTGACCAAACAGGCTTTTATCTTTCCGCTGCAGCAAGTGGCCTGTAGGCGCGTTGCTACAGCCGGTGGGGAGGCACCCGGCGTGCCTGTGCGCTAACACAAACAAGAAGGGTGAAGCGTACAAAACGGAGCCCCACTACCTTGTGTGTGTAACATTTTTTTCCACTGTTTTGGTCTTGTATAAAATATGTTTCCTGGTTCACAATATGTTTCCATGTGATCTCATTAACTCGTGCTCTGGGGCAGTTGGAAGTTACTGTTGAAATGTGATTTTAAGTTATTTTACCAATCAGATACACTGACCGTGTTTCCTTCCACCAAAAATACCTCTCGTTTTATGTATATGAAAGTGCTGGGCGACTGAGCACGGACGTCAACAGGATCACAGCCTACGCAACAGAAACTATGTTATTTTAAATCTTTCCAAAAAAATTGGTTAAGAATTTGTCACAACAAAGCTGGATTTTTTTCCTGTTATGTTACACAGCTGTTCTATTTCAAACATGAGGGCTGGAGGGGTGGGTTCCAACAAACAACTCTGGCTCCAAAATCTACCCATTCACAATGATTTCGAGATAACCAGATTTGATTACCTCCTCTGTCTCTTCCTGAATACGCGATACAGTTTTCATCAAAAGCCAGCGTGCCTTGGAAAATCACCGATGCCTTTCCCTCCCGCTCTCACATTCCCCTCTCTTTGGGGGCAGGAGGGAGCAGGCTCAGGCAGACCCTCGGCCGGGTGCTGTCTCTTTTCCTAGGGTTTTATAGCAGGCATCAGTCTAAAGGGGAAACTACTTTGTTGTATTGTTTCTAAAATTAATGATGTTTTGCATTTGTCGCAATTAAAGCTCGGTTGCTTTAGGCTTTGCAAGTCCTGGAGCAAAGGGAGTAATAATAAGAGTATAATAATGCATGCCTTAACAGAGACCCAGTCTCTGTGCCTCATGCTTCCCTTGGTTGCTTACGAGGACTGCGAGCTTGGGGGCTCAGTTGGGTCCCCAGGCTGTGGGCTTTCGGAGCAGGTGTGGGCTCACACATCCACCCCAAGGGCTGGGAACGGGTGACTCCAGTTCTGCGTGGGACTTGGCACGTGGGTGCGGAGGGTGGCAAGGTGGGGCGGGAGGGCAGAGCCTGACCCCACAGCCGAGGCTGAAGCTGCGCAGGGTCACCCAGCTCTGCTGGGCACGTGTCTGCGGTGCTTCGGTTGCAGCCCAGGGCCCCGCGCCAAGTCTTTGGATGTAGAAAATATTTAGAGAGCAAGCAGAGATTTTCAGGGGAAGCTTTGGAACAAACCCTGAGGTAGTGATGGGAATCGTACCTTTTCCAGAACAAAATGGGTTACCTCAGTGTACCCGTCTGCCTGAAAAACTACCGGAGGTAAAGCACTACGCCGAGAGTCAAGAGATGGTCTTTGTGAAATTTTGCTTTAGCTTTTAGCTCCAAGGTCTTTTTTATTTCAGTATTTATGTACTAAGCTGTCTCAAATGCAAGAAGTTTCTGTCTGTAGTCCCTCTTTTATAGTTAATGTCGTAGAATCATGGAATGGTTTGGGCTGGAAGGGACCTTTAAAGCCCGTCTAGTCCAACCCCCTGCAGTGAGCAGGGACACCTTTAGCTGGATCAGGTTGCTCAGAGCCCCGTCCAACCTGACCTGGGATGTTTCCAGGGATGGGGCTTCCACCACCTCTCTGGGCAGCCTGTGCCAGTGTTTCACCACCTTCATTGTAAAGAATTTCTTCCTTAGATCTAGTCTGAATCTGCCCTCTTTTAGTTTAAAACTATTACTCCTTGTCCTATTGCAGCAGGCCCTGCTAAAAAGTCTGTCCCAGCTTTCTTACAGAAAAGTAACAAAGTCCTGATGTAGTACTGATGTAGCAAATAGTTTAAAAAAGCAGCACTGTCCTGGGCAGTTATGTATGAGCAGGCGATGCTCTGTTTCTCAAGTCCTTGCTGTCTCAGTTGCTTTCCCTTCTGTGACATTCCTCCCTTGCTCCTCAGTGCTGTGTAGTGCAGAATCTCCCACAGGTAAAAATGTCAAAGTTGAAATGGAAGTACAGGACTGGACTTGTGCCCTCAGGTATAGGGGCAGTGTTAGTGGCTATTTCCAAAACGAAGATCCTGTTTTTATTTTTTAATGTCCCAAATCATCCTATGTCACAACAAAAAGTGTAGGCACTCGGGGAAGTGGTGGGTTTCTGCGTATCTTACACATTTTTACGACTTCCCCTTTGGCTGCTGTATTTGACTCAACACAACCTGAAATTTCCTAAAGGCAGTGTCATGCATTGTAGTTATTGCAAGCGTCATCAGTTTAATCCACAAAGTGTGTTGGCCTATAACACCTGAGTTTTCATTAAATGTAGTGTTTTTTGCAGGGAGGGGGAAGAGAAATGATAGTTATTGCAAGCGTCATCAGTTTAATCCACGAAGTGTGTTGGCCTGTAACACTTGAGTTTTCATTAAATGTAGTGTTTTTTTGCAGGGAGGGGGAAGAGAAATGGTTGAGTTTGTTGGTGGGGTGTATGGCATGTATGAGGTCTACCACACCAAAAGGAGCTTCCAGGAATAGACACCCAGTTCCAGGTGGCTTATAAAAGCTCCCTACTCTATTTTCTTGTACAGTTTATTTTTTTTAACTGTTGAAAGCCACATTTTCTTTAGCTGCAGTCTCTTTTTCAACCTCAAAAACATTACATGTATGTTCTTGACCTCACAGACACGAGGTCACGTAGTTTTACATATGGCAGCTGTAGTTTGCACCCAGAGAATGTATGGCTGGATACCTGTCTGCCAGCTGCAAAAGCACATTTGACTTTTATCTGCATCAATGGGCTTGTTTATTTTTTGTGGATTTTTTGGATTCTACTTTTGTGACCGTGACAGTATTAAACTCAAGCATGCAAAAATCGTTCATTGAGGCCCCAAACTGTATGATTTCCTTTAAAATCGTGATTTTAGAATCTTGCATATTTTTTTCCTTCTTTCTTTGGATTTGTGGACCTTTCAGATGCTCTTGATGCTTTTTTTTTTTTTTTTTTCTCTTTTTAAAAAATAGATGTTTTGGTCCAGATCATGAGATAGAGGAGAGCCTTACTTGGGAGAAGTTGAGTTTCTCAAGAAATCGGGGTTTTCTGACAGTGGAAAAGGCCACCAGCTATCTTAAGATAAGATAGTCACTGGTGCAGCAGCACCAGCTTTGCTGACCTGCGCGGCCAGGGCAAACTGGTGAGCTTATGGCGAGCGAGAGGAAGCTGCTCAGACAAAGCAAAGGCAGGGCTGTCTGGGCAAGACCCAGTGACACGGGGACTTGTGCCCATCTCCTGGGACTCATTAGTGTTAATTGAGGGGTGGGGGGAGCGGACAGGGAAGACCCACAGCGCCTCTAGCCTTTTTCTCTCTCCTGCTGTGTTGATGCTGGATGGGGACGTTTAGATGCTTCGACGAATTCGGTTTGCCACCACGTAGCAGCGGCTTTTGATTGCGTTAGGTTGCTGTACCATTAGGCTGAAGACTGCTTGGAAGCTTGTCTCAGTAAACTGATTTGTTTGTTTGTTTGTTTGTTTGATTTAATCCTCCCCACGCTTTCTCCTGACTGTTTTTCAGTTCATTCAAACGCCTCTGTGAGCATCTTAACAGCCTTCCTTCACCAGCTCGTTTTAGCACTGCGTGGTGCTAAGTTCAGAGCGAGCAGAGATGCGGTGCCAGCCACTTGTTCTCTCCATTCCTGCGGCGTTTCTTGTTCGTTCTCTAAGCCAAGAAATGCAAAATTTCCCATGCAAATCGATCTCTGAATGTGAAATTTTAGGACAGTAGTGTTAAGTATTATCTGGGAGTATGGCGACAAGTCGCGTTTTCAGACCTCAGCGTGAGGAATTCCAGCGCGCCGCATGCGCTCCACGGAGGAGCTACTTGCTCTGCATGCCAGCAAAACACAGCCAAGTCTGGGGTGGGATGCAGCATCTATTTTAACAGCTCGCAGCCAGATTGCTCAGTTGTCAGGCAGGAAATTAAGGAAAAAAAAATAAAATGAAAAGGCAAAATCTACCCACATTAACTCATAGGTGAGATATAAAGCAGGTATTTTTCTGACTACAGTCAAGTTGGTGGACACGTAGGCATCATTGCTGTTTTCTCACTCTTCCAAAAAAATGCACAAGGATCTTGCAAGAAGCATCTGCTTCGATGGGAGACATGGGTAATGAATAATAAATTATATCCATATTTGCGTTTGGTGCACAGTTGGAGCAGGGGCAGGCTAGCAGCCTGGTAAAAGTTTCAGCAGCCCTGTGGTTTCTCTAGTTTATGGTTTTGTTTCTAAAGGAACAATCCCTGTGAGAAAAATTCAGTTTAGTGCAGAGCACCCAGTCTCAGCCACGCTCCTCAGTCTCTTGCTTTACTTAGGGCGCTGAAACACGCTCACCACCCTGCTCTTCCAGGCAGCGGCTGATGCCGCTGTCAGGCAGCTCCCTGGGGTAGATGACTCCGTGCTCTGGTACGTGGCCAAGGAACAGAGTCAGTCCCTGTGCGAGACCGGTGGTTGTGCTGACACCTTTTGCACAGCAGCCTAGTTAAGGACAAAAATCTTTGCAGGTCTTTTTTTTCAAGTGGCCTTGGGCATCTCGTAGCTTAGGCAGTGTAATGGTAATGTAATTCCCAAGTGCATAGCAGTCATGTGAAAATGGGGCTTAAACACCTTTGCAAAGTTCAGTAGAAGTTTTTGGCTCTGTGTCCTCCCTGTCTGTATTCCAGTGCTGCTTAGTATCTTTCTGTGTTTTTTGTTGGGTTAGGTTTGGTTGTTTTTTTTTGGTAACTTGATAAATCTTCCTGCTAAAGGCAGAAGTCAGCCAGACTGGATAATCTGTTTTTGATTTAATCATATTGTGTATCTGGTGTATGCAAAATAAATCACTATTCATCTGTTTTGTAATCTGATTTATGTAGGACGGAGTTACATCGAGCGAGTTTTCTGCAGCCTAACACGAGGTTTTGTGAACCTGCCTTGAAACAACCACCCCTCATTACAGCGTTTAGGAGGACTACAGTTAGATTTGTTATGGCATAGAAAGGAACGGGACAGGTTTTCAGTTGGCGGAAAATTCAATCTGAGGGGAATACACCGATATATATTTGATAGGAAGACTGTGTGAAAACCTTTTATTTCTTTCGTGACCCCTGTGGAGGGGCTCTTCTCCCCTCCGCACGATGCTGGCTAGATGCGGTACTTTGGGCCTTTTGCAAATTGATAAGGTTTATTTGCAGCAGCCAGATTTGATTTTACCACTACACCATTTGCTTGGTGACTTTTTCCTTTAACCACGTTTAGCCGCAGGAAATTAAGTGCATGATGAAGATAACCTAACATAGGAAATAGCTCTGACAGCCCCAGCCCATGACACTGTTAAATGAATCACTCTGCTTCCTTTATCAGGAAAACTGCCATTAATTGTCAATTTATAATTGGGCAGGTGGTATTTTGGAATTTCGATGATAGATTGCAGGCTAACAGCAAACTGTATTTTTATTTTCAGGCTTTATTTGAGGACATGAATTTTACGACTTAATTATACTGACATTTTCAGGTGCTGATTTGAGGTTTTGTATTTTTTTCCTTTGTTTTTTTAAGGAGATGGAACTAGTTATGGAACTATTACTTACTTCTGTGTATCTTAAAAGAAATCCCTCTTCACTTGAGGGCTGCGTGATGCTGGTCCGAGTTGTCCTTTTTAATTAAGTTTTAAAAATTTTTAATCTGGTAGAAGTTGCATCCTCAGAAAAAAAAAAAAGATCCATCAAGTGAGAATTTACTTAAAATGAGAAACATCTGTTTAAAAATGTGTGCTGATCATCACCAGGAGAGACACAGCTGTTTTGCTCTGCTCTTTGTCATTCATCATTAGTCAAATATGGTTTATCCAGGATTTTTTTTTTTTTGAGACTTTTTCAGACTAAAGTATGTGTACCTAACGTGCTAGACAAAGAATAGTGGCTATATCCAATGGCCAGTTGCCTGTAATTTTTTGCTGGCTCTTCACTCTTTGTTTGAGTGTCTAGTAGCAGAACAGCTTCTCCTCACCCCCAAGGTGGGCCCTGGCCATTTTCGGGGAAAGACTTGTGCAGGAGCTCAGAAGACATAGTGTCCTGCCTCTGGCCAAGGCTGGGGATCCCGTGCTTGGGGGTCTGGTAGCCAAATTCAGGATTTGTCCCTGGCAGGGTTTTGCCTCTGCAGAGAGTGCCCTGCTGGCTCCTGCTCGCTCCAGATGTTCAGGAGCCCTCACAGAGGCAACATCTGTCTTTTGGATGAGCTCCCATTTGGGCTGAGCTGGGAGCCGTATGGCTACTCTGTTCTCTCCCCCTCTGTTGTTTCTGAGGATGCTCTGTGTCCCGAGGGCTGGAGAGCAGAGTAGCTGGAGGTTTGGAGCCTGTGACTCGACAGCAAGCCATGCTGGGGTAGCAGGGGGTGCCCAAGGAGTGAGGGTGGTGCCTGTCCTCACCCAGGGCTGGGACTTAGTGGCTCCAGCTGACCCCCATAACGTGTCTAGTGCCTGTCTATAGGCAGTCACATCACACGGCTCCAGTGTATAAGCAGTGAAGACAGATAATGCAGAGAAACTCAGCACCACCTGAAGTCCCATCAGTGTATATGCACGCGTGCAGTAGCAGGTACAAGTTAAACATGCTGGTGATACAGGGCTGGATAAGCACCTCAACCGAAAAAAAAAGAAAAAAAAAAAAAAAAGGCAAAGCGAAAAAAACCTGGGGTGCGAGTGGTTCAAGTCCCTGCCCTGCAGTGGGAGACAGCAGGGATGCTGTGGGGGACGTGAAAGCTGTAATGCCCGGGGAGCCGCAAGCACGCTGGGTGGGTGTGCGGATCACTGGGACAGTAAAATGGAGTGTTCGGTCTCCAGCTGAATATGTGCTTGTAATACACGCCTCCAGCGTGGAAGCTCTTCTGCGTCTGTTCCCTCCCAGCCAGCTCATTTCAGCTGTGATTCACGCTCCTCAGATGCTCCTTGCACCAGGGCTACAGCAGCGAGGGAGGGAACCGGTGGATCCCCAGCACCCAGCCTCCGCGCAGGCTGGGGCGAGCGCTAGCCAGCCCTAGGACTTGCGTGCTGCGGCGGGATGAGGCCCTGCGCCGTGGCAGGTAGCCCCGCTCCGTGGTGACAGCAAAGGGTCGGGGACCGTGACTTTCTGCTTGCTGGTCGTCTTCTCCAGGCTGATGGGAGAGATAATAACGTTTGATGTAAGAGGGCAGGGTAGCACCTTGCGGTTGTGCTGTTTGACTACTTGTAAAGGCTTTTGAAGGACACCTGGTGAGGAGAGTTCACCAAAGGAAAGAATATACACTAGACCTAAACATAGTGTGTTCATCGTGAAGCTTTTTGGTTCGATTTTAACGTCAATAAATTTGTCTCAGGCCTACTGTTTCTACAGTGCTTGTTTGTTTCATTTTCTTTTTTTTTCAACCCAAAGGATCAACTTGGCATTTCTTACGGCTGAGCTCTCATGACTATTTTCAAGTGTGGTTTTACACTGGAAGTGGGTTTCTAAGAATGGCACTTCACCACCATCGCATGCTGTCGGGTCTGCTTGCTTGTGTGATGGTAATGAGTCCTTAATATTTCAGTTAATTGCAGAGTCAATACGTGGTTCGAGCTGGATTTTCTTTGGGCTTCTGTGTCATCGTTAATGGGATTCATAAGCTTGCTCCCTTGCAGTGCATAGACCAGAAAGAGATTGGCTTCTTTTTGTGGCTCTCTGGCATGTTTTGTGTTGGGAAGGAAGCTGGGAAATGGCTTTTTTTTTTTCCTTCTTTCCGCCCCCTGTAAACTGAGCAGATTTGTTGAAATCCATTAGATTCATTAAATGCAGAACTCCTCCAGAGCTGGTTTGGCATTCATTTTCACAGCAGAAATCCTCTTCTTTAAATTCCTCGCCATCTTTCTGCCTACCTTTCTTCTTTTGGTTCAAGAATCAATGTATTAAGATATTTGTAAGCTATGTCTTAACATTTTTCCGTTTTATTTACAAATCGGGTAGCATCTGGGCCATCAGATATGCTCGACCCATAAATCTTCATAAAATAACCATTACCTTCTAAATTACTGATGTCATGGCATTACCCATATTGATGAAATTTTAAATGTAAGGAGGTGAAGGATGAACTGCGAAACACCGTCCCTAAAGTAATAGTGCTGAATGCTCGCGGTTTGTGATAGTGTACTTGATGTTAATTTTTAATACGTTTTCCTTTCCATTATAGCCCATCTCTGCCCGCCCTTGATTGGCAGCTGCCATCTCACTCAGGACCTTATGAACTGCGTATTGAAGTGCAGCCGAAATCCCACCACCGAGCTCATTACGAGACGGAAGGCAGCCGAGGGGCCGTGAAGGCATCTGCGGGGGGCCACCCTATCGTGCAGGTACCGAAGCGTGTAGCGAGCAGCAGCGGTTGTTTATCTCGGCGCTCTGTGGTGAGCACCTTTTCTTCTCCAAACCCCAAAAGGGACGGGAGATTTTTCCTGTTCTCAAAGATCACCGCGCATGAGCGTGCCTTGGGGCGTATTTTAAACGGGATGGACCAAGCCTTTACTGAAAACAAGGCAAGAGCGTCCAGTTGCTCTTCGCGATGCGAACACGGCGCGAGCAGGTTGCTGCTCTGTCCGTGTACGACTTAGCAAGTGTTCAGCTGGCGAGTGGTGACCGTGGACCTATCTGTGCAGTCAGATTCCAGACATGCAATTTATGCTGAAATCAGCTGGGGTTGTGCCTCGGTACATTTAGTCCTTGACTTGTGGTTGGATCTAGTCAGAGCTGTGAACACATGTTGGAGGACAGAGCAGTAATGTGGAAGTGTGTTGCTGGTTTGGATGTTACAGTGAATGCTGAACGGAGTGAGGCTTTTTGAGTTTCTTCTGTTCAGTTCCTTAAGCTCTTCCAGCCGCTCTGGAAAGCATCTGAGGGTTGAATCGAGTTTCGTGAATTCTACGAAACTCTTCAGTTACTGTATAAAAAGCATTTAATTTAATAACGCTGTAAACTGACCCTTAATTCATTTATATGACTAGTCTCATTTGTTTGTAAAGGACTTTTCTCAGGAGTGGGAAGAACAAGATTTAGTTGTTTAAAACCAAAAAAAAAAAAAAAAAGTAGCTGGGGAGAGCCAGCCGTGCCTGTCCCTCCTCAGCTGCTTCTTTCTCACCCAGGAGTTAAACTTTCAGTGACTTCTGTCAGGACTGTGACCCCCTGTGCAGCAGAGCCCGGGTTTTATCACTCCCGGAGCCGCGGGACCCGTGGGTGTCAGGGCACTGTCCGTGGGAGGGAGGCAGGCGCTGCCGCTGTGCTTGTGCTGCTCAGCTTGTGCCGCAGCTCCTCCTGGAACAGCCCTGGCTTGTCCCGAGCCCGGGTGGCTCGGGATGACACACAGAGCACACGTGCGGGGCTCACGCGCCTGTGTTTATTTGCTGTGAAACCCTGTTAGCCAACACGTCGTTCGAAGGAGCGGTGCGAGTCTGAGATGACACCGGGCAGGGAATGCCGCGGCAGGATCTGCGTGCTGCTGCGGCAGCTGGGAAAGGAGAGCGAGGGGAGTTGTCAGCAGCGAACCCGTTCGCTCTTTAGCTCTGCCAGAACTCATCAGTGACATGGGATTATGGAAGTCGTCTGCTGAAAGACGAAAGGTTTTAGCAGAACGTTTGTGAATATTATTAAAGAGGGGTTTGTGGCAGACGCGCTTGATGACAATTAATACCTACTCTGTTTGTGACTTGATGCAAGGAAATGTAAATGGGGAGGCATCAATTGGCAGCGGCCAGCTTGGCGTTTAAAGTTTCCTACGTGCTTTTTGGAAAGACTGAATGTGATGCCAACATTTAATTGGACTAAATGCGTCCAGACATTTCCCTTCTCATCCCCTGTCCCGGTCTGTCGGGAGTGAGCGTGCTGCTTCCAAACACAAACAAGTGTGAGAAAAGAGGAGAGGAGAGGAAACTGCGGAAGGGCCTGAAGGGAGAGCGGAGGAAGCAGCCAGTCCTAGCCCTGTCCGTTGGCTCTACCGGTTTAATAAGGATTAATGTATTTTTCAGTCCTTTTATTACAACCTGAACATCTTTTTCTCCAAAAAGAACAGAAAGATAAAGAGGGCCAGAAAGAGCTTCTCCACGCCGGCGTTGCCATCCCGGCCAGAGTTACCTGTTTGAGGAAATGCTTAAAAGCTTCTGACTTAGACCACAGCTGGACGGATGGATGAAAAATTGTTCTAAAAAGAAACTACTTATAAACACTTTCTATAAGAGAAATAGTAGGTACTTATAAAGAAGTACTTTAAAAACAAAAGTACATATAAATAAATAAAAGCAGGAGGAGGAAATCTAGGGAGTAGCTGCTGATAAATCAGTGACTGACAAAAGCTGTAAAATGCATCTCTGAATCATTGTATTTCCAGATGTTTGGGTCAGGTTTGATTCAGTCCACTATGTTATACAGAAAGGAGCCCGAGCTTCTAAGTTCACACCCAGATATAAACTCAAACAGTATCTGAGTGTCTTCAGGTGAGAGATTTTGGATCAAGCTTTTCACTGTAATGTTCCCCAGTGTTTTCAGTTGTGCTGATTCAGGGAAACCCCTCATAAAATTGCTCTGACCTCTTGCACTACCCTTTTGTGTTATTTTTTTGCCCCGTGTGGACAGTCAGGTCTTTCTTACATTACATGCTTTGCAGGAGCTTGCTTAACTTCTGCTTTTTCCCTTTACCTTCGACAGGAGGAGAATGCAGAAGAGGTCTCATCCTCCCTTCTCCGTTTCAACCTCCCTCTCACTAGCATCCTGCTTCCCAAACCAGGAGAATTTAACACCTCCACATATCTGTAGGGCATGCTAAGGCAGAGGAGAAGTAAATCCAAAAACCATCCGCTGCTCATGGCACAGTTCCCCAGTAAAATTGCCAGAAGGTTGTGTTCTCTGCAGCTGGAGTGTATTTATCTTTTTTTTTCCAGGCAATGTTAGATTCCTTACTGCTGCTCCATCTCTTCTTGTAGGAGGTGGAAGGTCCAAGAATCCAAGGTTTCCAAGGCAAGCGTGCTGGATGAGGAGAGCTGTGGTGTGGGAGGGCAGAAGTCTCTTGTGGGTGTGACATGAAGTCCAGAGTTGGAGAACAAATTTTTCCCTTGGCTCTAGTGGCTCCTCCAGGCTGGTGACTTTTCTCTGGAGCTGTAGCGGGCCATGTGTAAGGCTGAAGAGCTTTGCACTGGGACCCGCTGGTGGGCTGAATGCCCGCCGGTGTGTGAGATTCCTCTCCCAAACCTGAACCTGGGAAAGGGCAGGCAGTGCGGTGCATGGCAGGCTGCCGGCGGGGTGTGCAGGCTGCCAGGGCGTTCAGGCTGACCCGTGGAAGGGGGAAGCCCGGCGGGTGCTGGTGGCTGCCTGTGGCAGCAGAACCTTGCCCTGACCTGGTGCTGGAAAGCACCACACGCTCCTTATCGTCTCTCCATCATCTGCATGGGACTTGTTCACTGGAGGCTCCTGCAGGCTGTCTCTCAGGCGTATTTCATGCCAGCAGGATTTCCTGTGGATTTCCTTCGGTGGGATGGCTGCACCCTCCCTTCTGCGCTTAGGAACGGTCTGGCTTTGAGCACTTCAAGTTGCCTGTGAGGGCTAAGGAGCCCGGTAATGCAATATCCCTCTCTTCACAGTTCGCCTTTGCCTGTTTGGGTGTTTGTCTGCCGTGGCAGCCCCAAGCTATCGCTGTTCTCGATTGCTAAACGTTTTGAGAGTGGGATGAGCCGGCGCACCTAGCGAGGCACAAATGCTGCAGCAGATTGGCAAGCAAGCGGTGCCGGGGAGTGGTGCTGGTGAGCTCATGGCTGGCACTGGCTTTTACCCTTGGCTCGGGGAAGTATTTTGTGAGTTGTCGTTGCCTTTGGTGATTTCAGATCGGGGTACTCCCTCCTCTGAGTCAGAACGGGGCCGGTGCCCCAGCTGGCATCGGGCATTACGAAGCTGTACGCTGTGCCAGGTGAGGGTGAAGCCCGGGACCACTTTGGGGAGTGAAATCACGCCTGTTAGCACGCTGCTGGCACCTCCATGTTGGCAGGAGTTCATGACTAGGGTGAGGATTTCTCTGAATGATACAAGATGAAGTGAATAGGGGCTTTAGGAAACGCACAGAGTTAGGTAGCTCCAGCCGTATTTTAAGCGAGGTGAATTTAATTCAAGGGTTTTACATGCAGAACATCTTAAAAACATCCTCCCTTTGGACCTATCTCCCATTCTTCATTTGGAGAGTGGTGGTGAGGAGTTGCACAAGATGGGGTTACATTCCAGCCAACGATGGGTCTGTTTCAGCTGCGGGTAAGTAATCTGGCAGATGAAAGTTTAGGCTCCCTGGGGAGGGATGGCACCGGATTATAAGTATGTGGTCTATAGATATTCTAATTAATAACTCATCTTTGGAATAAGTCGAGCACTTTGGCTGCCTGAGATGGAATTTTTACAAGCAGGGTGCGGTGTATCTGTGAGATAAAATCCAAATACTCAAGAATGTTTAATTAAAGGGTATGATTTACTCCCATAGAAGACTGGACTAAATCGTGAAAGAAAATATTCAAATGCACGGAATAGTCTAATAAGCACTTTGAAAAGTCATGGTTATTATTCATTTTTCTGACGCAAAATATGACAGGAATTTTCTTTATGATCACACTTGACGTGAGATAAATTGGTTAGAAAAAGGGAAGAAAAGGAGTTGTAGGCATTTTCCTTTTTTATCTAGGTAAGCAGTACTAGCCAGAATTTGTTTTCCTCTTAGAAGAATAAGTTAATATTGAAGATATAGTGAATGCTGCCTTACCTTTCACTGTATCGCTTTGCAGTGAGGTGATAGAGGTGGTGTATGGCTTGTGCACTCCAGTACAGAATTTGATCTGAGCCTGTGAACAGATGAATAGTCTGGACTCGCTCATTTTACAGGCAAAACACAATGATTTGTCTGCTGATTTACATAGTCAAAATGCTGTCTGTGCCAGGAGACTTGCTCACTAGAGTTGTCTGTGTCGTTTCTCCACAAGATCTCAAGTAGGCACTTTGCATCCAATTTTCAAAGGCCTTGAGGCCTGTGTTGGGATTTTTAAATCCCCTTATGACTGACAAGTGTCAAACTCTTCTCTAAAGCAATTGCTGCCTCCGTACTTTTGTATCTCTCTGCGTCTCCGTAATTAGGCACTGGCACGTCTCTGAGCTGTCTGTGCACCCCAGTGACACGTGCAGTGCGTTATCATTTGCCTCCCATGGATCGGTTGGTTTGTTGCTTTTGGATAACAAGCTCAAGTAGTTGAGGGCCAGGTGCTGGCCACCGCAGGTATCTGGTATCAGAGTCCGTCCATCTTCCAGACCCAAGAGCTGTGAATACCCTTTGGAAACCCCTCAG